CAAAAGACTAGCTAAAAGTATCAAAAGACTAGCTAAAAGTATCAAAATACTAACTAAAAGTATCAAAAGAATAAAGTTTCAAAAGACTAGCTAAAAGTATCAAAAGAATAAAGTATCAAGCTAAAAGTATCAAAAAACTTGCTAAAATTATCAAAAGACTAGCTAAAAGTATCAAAAGACTAGCTAAAGTATCAAAAGAATAAAGTATCAAGTATCAAGCTAAAAGTATCAAAAGACTTGCTAAAAGTATCTAAAGACTAGCTAAAAGTATCAAAAGAATAAAGTATCAAAAGACTAGCTAAAAGTATCAAAAGACTAGCTAAAAGTATCGAAAGACTAGCTAAATGTATTAAAAGAATAAAGTATCAAAAGACTAGCTAAAATTGTCAAAAGACTAGCCAAAAGTATCAAAAGACGAGCTAAAATTATTAACAGTTATGCTAAAACTAACAAGTTAAAAAAGGCTAAAACTAAAAATAATAAAGCACTAATTATATGTTGAAAGTACCAAATTGTAGTTGAAAAGCTAAATGCATCAAAATGCTAGCTAAAAGTAGTAAGTGTGTAGCTTAAAGTAAAGATAAAAGCAACAAAAATTAAGCTAAAAGCTAAAATTAATAAAAGGCTACATTAAAACTAAATGTATCATAAGAAAATTGGTGAAGCAGATTTTAAAAGAAAAGAAAATATCTGATCGAACCTTTATATATTTTTATGTGGGGAAATTATCTTAAAGTAAAGTTAAACATGCTGAGAGTATAGAAATATAAAAAACCAAGAGTCAGCATTCATTTCCAGAATGAGCTGATCGTTTTAATGGTTGTACAGCATAAAGTGTGCAGTAGTCAGTTTGTAAAAAGGAAAATAAAGTATGGTAACAAAACAAAACAACAAATCAGCATTCACCAAAGAAATACGATTTCGTGTGCACAGTGGATTTTAGCTTATCAGAAGTGAGAGAATGCTTAAATTAAAAGAGGAACTACTGACGAGCTGATTAAATGTCCACGAAGACAATTGTTGTAAACACCAGAGACATGTTCATGAAGGCGTGCTGTAGTGGGCTCTGTGTTTCACTGATACAATAAAGTGTGCTTGCTTCAGGCTGGAGTGTGACATCAACAGAACTGGGTTACATATATGTTGTGCTAGTTATGTTAGACGTATGTTTCTAAAAATGTGGGTTAAGTATAAAACAGAAGGCTGCTTTTTAAAAATTATTTTGCATTTACTGAAAACAATGGCTTGGTTTTGTGTTTCAGCCTCCAGAGATGCTAAAACGGATGGTACCTTTCAACTCGTCTTTTAAATCAAACAACAAACAAGTAATCTGATCCTTTTGACCCTTTTATTAATCTCGAGTGCTGTTTGTCATTTTTTTCCTCCGCGCTCACACATCAGGTTAAATCGTGGCTCAGTCTAACCTGAGTGGATTTGCTCGTGTTTTGAATGTTCGTTCTGTTTGCTGCATCGCTGCCTTTTGATCGAGCTGTTTGTGCATGACTGCTTTTTCATCGATTCGGAGCCGTGACAGTGCGCATGTTTAGTGTTGGAATGCACCGCGGTGTCACTGCAGTGAGTCGTTTTCAGTTTTTACCGGTAAGAAAAGGTTTCCACATCAGATGTGCTTCCCTGAAAACACTGCGATGGTACGGCGTGTGTTGTGAGAGAACAGCAAGGCTGTTTTTCTTCATTAAATCCCAAGTTTTATTAGATTTATCTGCAGTTCCAGTTAGTTTTTAATGATGGAGCTGAAGCCAATAAATTAAAACATTACAAAGGTTGTAATTTTTTATGTTTAATTTAAAGTGTTTGTGCAGGAACTATAAAGAAACAGAGATTAATGTTTGTTTATTCAATATTGTTCCGATTCCTTCCCCCTCCTGTAAAATTAAATAACCGAGGTCCTCAGATGAATTAGTGTTGGTTTACTTTTGTTGTTACTGAATTTATGTTGGAGGCTTAATTGCTTTGGAGTTATTGATTGTGACGTTGAACTTGTCAAAGGAAATCTGGCCTCTTGTTTTCACAGCTCATGTTCGGTTCGATAACTTTGTCTTTATGTGTTAAACCTTTTTTTATCAACTTTATGTTGCTTTTCTTTCAGGGATTTCAAAAACACGTGGATGACTTTGACCCCTACTCCATGGTATTGTATGCTTGTGCTCGTTTGCTCTGCAGAAGTGCAGAAATATTCTGCAGATCACAGATTAAATTGACATTGAATAACTTTTAAATAGTAAAAGATAGAAATACAAAGCATGTCTGCTTGTATAGTTATTATATAGTCATTTACCAAAGCGGTTGCTAACTAATTCAGTATCTGAAACAAGCAGGTCTGTCTGTTCACATATACAACTTAATTTAAATCAATATATTTAAAGTAGATGTGGATTTTTAAAGTTTTGATTAAAGTTTGAACTAAAGTTTATTTGAGGAGGTTTGATTTAATTTAGCACAGTTTTTAAATCTAAAATAATTTGGTCAGCACTTTGTAGATGCCACTCTGTTTCACCAAAGTTTTATTATGATTTTTTTTTATTTTAAAAGTTATTTGAAATAATTTGCTGTTATTTAAGTCACTCGGAAGGTTTAGTGTATTGTGTTTATATTAGCTTTATGCATGAAAATATTTTTTCTTAGTCACTTTGTTGGGCTGGTTCTTTGTTCGTCATTACAGGAATTTAATAGAAATTTATTACCCTTTTTTTTTGTTTTTCATTTTGTAGCCTGTAAAACTGCAGATGGAGCCTTTGACCATTAGTCAAATGCTCAACTCAACTTTATTTTTATAGCTCATTTATCAAACACAAGCAGTGCCCAAAGTGTTTAAAAGAGTATTAATAAGACTTAAAGCAGCAGTTTCACAAAATAATAATACTGGTGCCAAAATTAAAAATTAATCAAACCCACAGTTAAATCACTAAATAAAAAAAAAAGGATTGGCATATTTAAAAACAAATGTGATAAAACAGACACAGCACAGATAAAATACTCAAAGCTCTTTTTAAAAAGTAAAGTTTTTAGTTTAGTTTTAAAACGATAAATCTGTCACAAACAGGAAGTTGATTTCAGAGCTGGGAGCTGAAAACTGATCAATTAAATTGAATTTATGTTTTTATGTAAATTATGCGAAAATAAGCATCATTATCTTTGATATTTCTTAGTAATTGGCTGTAATGGGCTGTTTTCTCCATTATTCTGTTGATAGTTCTCCACGGAGCAGATAGCGGGCCGGGATGTGAGGTTGCTGAGAATCAAAAAGGTAGCTACAAAACCTTCTCCAGTTATTAAAACAAATCTCTTGCAGGGTTTTGATATTCTGAGACGTGGCTGAAAGAGGTTTATTTATTTTCTCTCTTTAAAGAGCGGACAGCTTGATGTGGCTTTGGAGGGAGGAGCCGACTCCCCCTTGGGAAAGTTGGTGGTGTCCTCTGTTTATGAAGGTGGTGCTGCCGATAAGCACGGTTAGTTCACTGTGAGCTCTTCAGGGGTGCTGCATGCTGTAACAGGTCGAGCTGGGACACGGTGCAGCTGGGTTTGACTGGCCCATGGGCCACCTACTTGTGTTTTACTTCAAACTCTGCCCAATTTTTTTTTTTGAAAATACAGTAGTCCCTCGTTTATTGCAGGTGTTACATTCCTGACACCCCCCCTCCCCCCGCAATAAGTGAAAATCCACGAAATAGCAACGTTATATTTATAGTATTTATATATATTTTAATGCTTTAGAAATCCTTCCCACACTCTTGCAATGTTCTAAACTCTTGAACCTACTTCATTTTAACAACATAGGTACAGTACTGTATATGTAGCTACTAAATTTTACCTGACGGGCTCTGCAGAACAGCAGCAGCTCTCGGTTCCGGTCCGACTCTGTTCCGTTTCTGCAGACCTACCTTGCAGCAATGAAGCTCACAATCAATGTTCCAAACTCTTAAACTTACTAATTTTAACAACATACTTATATGCAGCTACTGAGTTTTACTCACTAGCTCTGCAGAACAGCAGCGGCTCGGTTCCGGTTCGACGGTTCCATTTCTGCGGACCTACCCTGCTGGTTCTGGTCGGCTCTCTGGCTCAGGTTATTGGTGGTGGCTCCAGCTGGAGCGCCGGACCTTCGGCTGCACACGTCTCACTTGGAAGTCCTCTTGGGCTGGCTACCATCTCTCAAGATTCACAGATAGGTCTTGGAGATCCAGTTCTGGTCCTGTTTGGTGGGTTCCATGTGGCTCTCTGCACCCGCTGGGCGCCGAAGTCACTGTAATAAGCACCAAACTTTTTCCAATCAGATCAAAACTTCCCTCTAGTGTTTCAGCAGAAGGAAATGGGGCTTCTCGGCAGGGCCCTGTTGACTTCTGGGAAATGTAGTTGTTATGAGCACAGTGAAGGCTTATTGAGAGAAAACTACAAAATGGTGGCACCTGTCTGAAGTATTTTATCTTTTCGTTAACTTTTTACTGTACAGTATCCCGTACTGTCCCAGTCGTGTGTGTAATATTAAAGTTGACAATCGTGTGTCGTGTACAAATTTTTTTCTCGTGTTCAATCTTTGACAAATTGCGATAGAGCGAGTCTACGAAAGTCGAACTGTGAAGTAGCGAGAGACTACTGTACTATCAAACAAAGACACTAAATATTAAAACTATACACTTTGAAACGTTTTACTTATCTACAGTGACAAAACCCAGTGTGCCTTTGTGTTCGTATTTAACCATCTTTCTGTTTTCACGTTGGGGATTTTCAGAAGTTAAAGGTCTCAGCTGTGTGTTTGTAGGTGGGATTGTCCCCGGGGATGAACTTATGGCCGTGAACGGGAAGATCCTGATCGACGCTACTTTGACTGAAGGACAGAACTCTCTGGCTCGAGCCTGGAACAGTGGAGGGGTACGAGTCCGATTCTTACTGAGATATAGAATTATGCACAGTAACAGGGTGTAACTTTTTATTGATTGTTCTTGATTCAGCTTGAGCTCATATTTCGGATCGATTTAGTCGCATGAAGATTTTGAATCTTTCCTCAGGACTGGATCGATGTTGTGATTGCCGTCTCCCCTCCTAAAGATTATGAAGATGAAGTGTAAGCATTCTTGTTATTGCTTATTTAAGTACAACATTCTTGTTGTTGCACCAAATATTGGTTCAGTAGTTAACAAATCTGTGCGTGTTCGTGTGCGTGTGTGTGTAAGCAGCCCTAAGGCAGCATCAGTCAGTCCCACTGTGAACAGAAAGGTGTTTGAAGGCAGCGCAACACTTTACAGACACGGTTATCTACTTCAGCACTAACACCACCTCTCCTCCTACTTCACCCTCGTTCGGGTAATCCGCTTCAACCCTCCTTTTCTTCCCTTTACAAAGGGGAGGGAGGGTGCTTGGTGTGCCTCGTGGTTTTGTTTGGGCTTCAGGACATGTGACAGTCAGTCAATCAGAATAAAACAAGAACAACAGAGCAGTTTTGTTAGTTTCTTTCCAGTTTGTCTGTTCCAGCTTGGCTTAATGTAAAACTATAACTGGGGCTTACAGTGTAAAGAATTCACTTTTTCTGTTAAGAAGCGGTTAAAACGAGGTGAAATGTGCCATTCAGTGATAACGTCCTGCTGTCTGAAGACACTCGCCTGTCCCATCATAAATCTAGTCGTACATTCTGCCTCGTGTCGTCGGGTCATGGACACCGTGAGGCCCCTGCCAGCCTTCAGCAGTCGCTCTGATTGATGTTGTTCCACGGGACTGTTACATGTTCTAACGTTTACTTTGAATCTGAATGACCCGACCCAGAAAATGAAGAAACCGTTTTCTTTTTGACCGTTTTTAATGTTTACCCTGCGTTCGTGTGTTTGTTTGCTTGTTTGTTGTGATCAGGGTGCAGTGACCGTGATAAGCTTGAAATAATTAACGTTTGCACAGTTTGTACTTTACAGGAGGTGAGCTAATGAAGAATATTAGTTTTTATTGCTTTGTCTGGGTGCATTTGAACTCACTAGATCAGAGAAAATGAGTAGATTTTACGAGTAATTCTAATTTCTCCTGCAGGACGTTCTTCTAGTCCACATGCCAAGAAACCAGGAGCGATCACGAAGAAGCTTCTCCTCCACCTTCAAACAAAACCTTGAGCTGCTCTTTCAGCTGGAACCTCTCGCTGCTCTTTGAGACTGAGCCAGTTGTCTTTTAGGCTGACAGCACGCGGTCCACGTTCGTTGTCCCCGTCTTGTTTTTGTCAACGGACTGCGCAGTCAATGTTTCGTAGTCCTCAAAATAACTGACCTCATTTCGGCTGATCTGCATCTGTCAGTAGAAGGATGAGGAATTATAGATTGTAATCAATAACGTCTCCCATTTGCTTTTTCCGACGCTTATTAGCCAGCAGAGACTAAACATGAGGTCCTCTTGTTTCGATTGATTTCCTATTTCTCTTTTAAAGCACAGTTTATAGGCTAATGAAACTTAATGATACAAGCAGTTCGTTCTCAAATGAAGCCTTTAAATGAGGACAAGAATTAGTGCTTTAAATCAAGATTTTGTGTTTTTTAATTGTTCACTCTTTTAGGTTTTGATATATATAAATATTTGAGATTTGTGTCTCCAATAAAGTCCAGGATTGACCTCCATCTGTCTGCATTTTTCATAAAAACACAGTTGATTTTACTTGAATGAAAACTCCTTTCCATTTAAGAGCGTTTAGTTATTAATAAAATGTGTTTTTTGCTGTGAAATTTGCACTTTATCAAAAGTGAAACTGCAAAGTAAAGGAGGTAAAGGTAATTAACAAGGAATTAATTACTTTAATAACAAATTTACAAAGAATTAAAAGTAATTAAATCTGATCATCTTTGATGCTGAAGACCTGTAGTTACTGTAAATGTGTTTTAAATAACATTTTAAATATATTGCTTTGTGTTTAAATACTAGTGCTCTGATGAGAATAAACTTTTGAAATTGTCAATTTTTTTAAGTGTAAAAATTAAACTGTTAGCAATAGCTATGACGAGTTTACCTTATTTACCACAAAATCTTTTCTTTTTAAAAAAAAAGTAAAGCATTCAAACATTACATTTGCTCTAAATTCATTGCAGTTTATTTATAATGTGCTAATTCTCAACAAAACTCTGAGCATCATACAAAAAAAATGTCCAAACCATACATCTGATCCAGACCCAGATTACAATGTGGTGCGTTCACATATGGCACATTACGAAACATCAATTTATAAAAGTTACATAAAGCCATCTGTTTGTGTCAGATCTTTATTCTGTTGCAATCTCCCATCCTGAGAAGCACGTTGGCGACAGTGGAAAGGAATGACTCCGTTTTAGCAGAAAGAAACCTCCAGCAGAACCAGGCTCAGGCTGAGCAGCCGTCTGCCTCGACTGGCTGGGGTTAAAGATGATAGACAAACGGGGTCAGTCCAGATGTGGCGTCTATGGAAACACAACAAAACAGACGAGAATAATGAAAAATGTGGAGAACAGAGTGAGGAACTGTGGTCAGTTTGTCCTCCCAGCAGTCGACCTATAACTAAAGGATAGCTCAGGAAACACAAGTTAACTATAGGATTTATAAAGGGTGTCACCTCAGAAACTTGACATTGGTTCCACACGAGAAACTAGAGCCCATTTTACATTTAGAATCTTTATAGGAACCACATGTAAACCTGCAGTCTGGGAGGAAAGTGCTTTGTGTGGAACAATAAAAGCTTCTGGCAGGAGTGTTCTGGATCCACTGAAGACTTTTAGAGTTTGAGAACCAGGTGTTTCTAGCCTTAGTAACATTGCACAGCTGGACAAAGTCCTGGAACCATTTTTAATGTTGGTGTTAAAAGACGAGTCCAGGTTCAAAACAGCCTGAAGTTCTTTACATGAGAGCTGGAGGTCCAGTGGCTTCAGAGCTTGTTCCTAAGATGCTACCATCTAAAACCCGATTATTAATATCAATAATGAACTGATGGGTTCTCATTTTTCCTGTATTTAATACATTTTGTATCGATTTATTCCAACCACGGTAAGCCACTTTTGCAGTAATGCGTCCACAGGGGGCAATGGTGGTCCTTGTTGAATTTTGGACCCGTGACTGATAAAAATATAATTTTAGGTAATGGTATTAAATAGGTTAAGATGAGATTTGGGATTATTTGGGTCAAATGCACATTTTAAATTGGAATATAAGGGACAGTTCGTGCAGTTTAGGACGTGAGGTCGTGCGCGTGTTTCACACCATCCCGCCTGGTTCTTATATAACAGCTCATTGTCTCGTGGCGTCTGTGCGCCAGGCTTGGAGACCTCCTCTGCTCTGGTTCAGGACAGATTCCAAAGGTGGCCTTGAGAGATCTGCCTCCCTCCTCCCTCCTCCTCCTCCTCCTCCTCCTCTTCCTCTTCCTCCAAGGTACCGTGGATCAGCACCGTGGACAGCTCCCAGCCTCCTCACGCAAACCGCCGCCTGCGGTTCGCTGCTCCGGCGCAAAGTAGGGCGCGGAGAGTCCGGGGCGCACCCCGAACCCATGCGAGACTGCGGTTCCGTGGATCTACCCGCTTTTGGCTCAACAACCGGATGTGACCCAGCTGAGGATCGTGTCTGAAGTCAGAAGCTGGAACAATGATCTCACGGTACAAACCGGTAAGAAGCGACTCTTCCCTTGTTCGTGCAGGAGAACTCCTCTGCTCCTCCCGTGCTCGTCTTTAACCCACGTGGGGAAACAAGCACATAAATCTACACATATTCAAAGAGCAGAGATGGATCCCCGTTTAAACCAGTCAGTTCAGGTCGTGTTAGTCCATGAATCAGCTGCGTGGAGTCGTTAATGGGAACATCCATCATGCTGGAGGGGAATTAGAGAAGAGTGAAATATGGACGGTTGTGTTGGAGCTGATGGAGAACATTTTAAAACGCGCAATCCCACCTTCCTCCTGTTCTCTCAACAAGTGGCAATAAAAAATAAGATTAATTGTAAAACCCAGGGTCCACTTGAGCCATACTCACATGCTCCAACACCATGGCTGCTGCTGGTTGTGATGCTGACGGATTTTGTGGATCCTGTTGCTGCTGTAGGCCTATTGAATCACCAGAGTCCTTAATATCCAGTTTGTGCCCCCTTCATCCCCTCTGCTGCTCCTCTTCTTCATGCACCTCTGTCTGATGCTTTAATTCAGCCAAGGTCATTCATGGGTAACCTGTCCAGGTGTGCCCATACAGTGAGTGCAGGTTAATGAATCATATTTAAACGTTCACAGAGCAAACACTTGGCTTATTTTTCCTTTGATTTGTTTGTATTATGAATACAAAGCTAAACAATTGTTTGTGATAATGCTGACTCAGTTAAAATAGTTGTTTTTCTGATTAAAGTTCATTTTATGGCTTTTTGAAATCAAACACTTCTGCATATTTAAATGATGTATTCATCAAAATGTTCAGCTCGATCAGTGAGAAGGTCGCTGGTTCAAATCCTGTCCCGGGACCTTTCTGGGTGGAGTTTGCATGTTCTCTCCGTGCATGCGTGGGTTTTCTCCGGGTACTCCAGTTTCCTCCCTCAGACCAGAAACATGCATGTTAGTCTGATTGGTGACTCTAAATTAGGTGTGAGTGAGAGAGTGAATGGTTGTTTGTCTTGTTTGTCTCTATGTGTCCCTGTGATGGACTGAGACCTGTCCAGGGTGTCCACGTCTCTCGCACAGTGACTACTGGGTAAGGACACCAGTGACCCTTGTGACCCAGAAAGGAAGAAGCGGATAAAGATAATGGATGGATGGACTGTAATGCACATTATGTCTTTCAAAGCATTGTTGCCAGATAGATTTATCTTTCCATTAAGACTTAAAGACAAAAACATTTCTCTCCTTCTTTCCTTTCTGGATTTACTCCTTGTTGAATTCTGTATGAATTTTAAAATCCTCCTCCTTACTTTTAGAGCTTTGAACATCTTTGCTTCTATTTACACCACTGATTTATTGACACGTAACATCTTGATAGAGATGGTAATCTGCTATTTCCAGATCACATGTGATCGAAGGGAGATCAGGCCTTTTTTTTTTTAAATAAACCCCATCTGGACTCAAGCACATTGTTTTTCTATATACGCCCCCCC